CACAGAAAAAATCCAGATTACAACCAGCGAAAGTGAAAATGCACAAAACACAGTTTATGTTTGGATGTTTTACATTTTCAGTGGAAAACATGTTCTCAGGTTCAAAATGTTAATTCGAATCATTTTACTACTGTATTTAAATGTGCAAACATATTTCAACACATGGCTGAAATATGTTGGAGGTCACGACAAAGATTTTAACGTGAAATGCATCCAGAAAAAGATTGTCTTACAGGGAATTGCAAGCCTTTCTGAAACCTTACACCGTAACCTGATGTCCGCCTCCCTTGAAATGTAACTGTAGTCTGGGTCAGTGCAGCCCACAACTCTTCTGATTGGCCAGCTCAGTACTGTTGATTCTTTCTATGCATTTACTGCTTAATATCTAAGCACGTTTGTAAATATGTAAATGTGGGCAAAATGCTCCAAAATGAGATTTGGCATCGACTGTATCAATAAATAAGGGAGAACTGAGTGATGGTGGAGGTGTAGCAGGAGAGGGTGAGATTCAGAGAGAATCTGTGGAAGAAAACCTGCCACCAAGCAGGTTGATTTCAGTCTGTTACCCCAGTAATTGTCAGAGAGTTTAACTTGGTTTTGTTTCTAGAACAGAAACTCCAGACATTTCCTCTTCTCAGGGTTAATGTGAGTTCTCTTTTTTTTCTCTCTCAGGCTCCAAATGTACACCCAAACACGTATGGGGGGATGCTGAGGTTCATGCTGTAGAAAAACACATGATGCGCTTCATTCAGGAGCACAAAGTGCCCCAGAAGGACGACTGCGTCAAGTGTCTTGAAGCTGAGGCAAAAGCACTGAGGAACCGCACGTGGAAAGGTCTAAAGAACTACGTCCGAAACAGGATCACAACTCTGAAAAGACAAAATGACTCTTCGCAGGATTCTCCGACCAGCTGCAAAAGGCCCAGAGAAGCAGAACCACAGAAAAGTACTGCACGTTAGCTACAGCTATAGATGTGATATGTTGTTGAAGGCCAAACCTGTTTTTTTTTTTTTGTCTTCAACAACCCTTTTTCCTTATTCTTTGCTATTCTTCCTTTGCTTATTCTTTACCTCCTTCTCTCACTCTTCGATCTCTCTGTTCAGCTTTTTTTTTGGTATCTGTCTCTTTCACAAAGTCATGAGTGTCTTCCTCTATTAGAATGGCCAACAAAAGCTAATAATTGCCCACCACTTTAACAATTCCAGTCTGTTCTTTTTATGATCACAGCAGTTTTCATCGTGGTGTTGTTTCAAATAATCCAGCTGATTTGTTGAATACTCACAGTTTTATGCTGTACCCTTAAATGCTGTTTTAGGGTACAGATTAGAATCATAGTTGTAGTAAATGTTGTATTTGCATGTCTGTGTATACGTGCTGGGATTTCTAAGGTGAACATAGACTTACTTATTTATTTATAGCGAGACAGCCTACGAGTGGACGACAAGCTGACTCACAGGATCACGATGAAGGCTCTACTGCAGACAATGGAGAGGCACCTTTTAATCATCAAAAAGCACATGGAGAAACAAGAAGCTCCAGCAAGACTACACGTCCCAAATCTGTCAAATCCGGTGGACATGGTAATAATGGTAGTCTTTAAGACTGACACTGTATTTTTAGGTAATATCATGTCATGCTAGCTACTACCTGCTGCAGAGATGTTTTCATTACCAGACTGTCAGACTTAATTTCACTTACAGTTCAGTACATTAGTAGAATTCAGTGATCTTTTAGACCTCCATGCCTCTTACTCTGTCATTGCGTGGCTAGCCTTTTAGCCCAGGTTTTAGGGATATCTGCTTTTTATCAGTGCAAATTAAATAATTAGGTTTTATTTTTTGGTTCTGGGCTTGCATGCAGATCACAAGGAAGTTATCAGAAAAATATTTCTATACTCTCTGCCCAAGATGAATTTTAATGTCAGGATCATTGATTTCTTTCCTTTTCTTCCTGACAGGTTCCCTTCATAAAACTAAACACACGTGGGAGGAGGCAGAGGTCCACGCTGTAGAAAGACACATGATGAGTTTCATTCGAGGCCACAAGGTGCCTCAGAAAGACGACTGCATAAAGTGTCTTGATGCTGAGCCAAGAGCGCTGAGAAACCGCACGTGGAAAGGTGTAAAGGACTACGTCAGAAACAGGATCACAACCCTACAAAGACAAAGCGGCTTCTCCCTGGATTCACCGAAAAGCAGGAAAAGGCCCCGAAAATCAGCAGAGCCACAGCAGAGTACTGCACATTACTAACCGCTGTAGATTTGATATGATGTTGGTTTCTTCAGCATTCCCTCTTAATTGACTTATCTCTCCCCATACTCTCCCCATTAAGATTCCCAGTAAAAAGTAATAAAGTAATAATTTTCCTTATACGTATATATTTTTTGTCTTCAATACAGTGAGACAGTCTGCAGGTGGAGAACAAGCCAGTTCATGGGATCACAATGACTTCTCCTATGCAGGTGGTGGAACAGAAATGTTTTATGATCAACAAGAACATGAAGAAACAACAAGCTCCAGCAAAACGAGCAGCTCTGTCAAATCCAGTGAGAAAGGTAATAATGGTCACCTTTAATATACTTCCTGTCTATTCATTTCTGTTTGCCTTTGGTTTAGATTGCCTTCATCACAATAATGGGACCGTCACATAAACTTATAATAAATTAATAAAAATACAAGAGTCAAATTAATAGGCCAACCACCTTTTATGTGTTGCTGAAGGTTCAGGACACCTTACATCTTTCTTCATCTGCCTCGTTCATCTTTGCCAATTTTTGGATTGTTAGCTTTTCACCACGATGAATGAAATAATCACATATTTTGTCAAATAATATTCAAACTATTTCACAAGTAAACCCACCAGCCTCTAGCAGCACAGTATATTAACACAATCTAGACATGGCGGTCCTACGTGCAGCATTTTAGGTTAAAAGAGCTCATGGAAAATAAACAAATGTAAACAAATAGTATCCAAAATGGAACAAAGTCTGTGTGTGGAGCATTTTACTTATAGCCCTTCCAGTTCAATATTATATATTTTATATATTTAACATCTAAAAATAAACGGAATAGGTGTACCCACTTCTTTGTTGGGCATGATGGATGCACTTTCTCGACAAGCAGTCATTAGCATCCGAATGAAACAGTAATCTGGTATTATCTATATACTATATCTATATTATCTATATATTAAATAATCTGGTAAGGTGGGCAGAAATACAGCAAATAATACATTCAGTTGCATGATAGAAGCATCTACAGGTGGCCCCTGACAAAATCATAAAAAGAAATAACCATGAAAAAATAATATATTGTTATATGTTTTTTTC